TCAACAGCGAACCCACAGTTTTCTGTATAATTCTGCATAAACTTCTGCAGAATTATGAACACATCAAATTTTACCAAAACTAAACATTTTTCCAAACTTCTAATCTTCCAAACATGAATCATACACATCTCTACACTAAACTAAGAATACCTAAACCTTTCTAACATCAAATAGAGAGTTTCATCTCAGATTTGAGAGTCAATTCTGCAGAATCATCAACTCAAGGACCGAAAATCAGATTTCCTACTTGTTGTACAGTTTTAAGTAACTCAAGAGTTCTAACAAGTCTTATACCGCTTACCCAGATTCTCTATACCGACCACACTCATAACGAACATAATTTCTCCAATTTCACTATCCCACTTCTTCACAATTCACTCGGCCATGAACCAGAAACTAAACATAAAAACAATCAACATGAACACAACAATTTAAAAGTACACACCAACTCAACCGAATACAATTCATTAAATTTTTACATTCATACAGAATCGACCAAATCAATTTCATACAACATAGACTATTCAATCACCACAGAATCCAATTTCTCACACATACAAAATCATTAAACAACATTCACATACACTGTAAATTCATCAATTAAATTAACTAGCTTCCCTTACCTCGAATCCAAGAGACCACTTTTATATGTTTCAATCCAAGAACTTCTACAACAGCCACAATTTATGGTCGGTGCAGCGAAACCAACCGAAGAAACCAAAAGAGAAAAGACTCAGGAACAATGCAAGAACACATGCAAGCCAATCAATGCTTGCATGCACAGAAAACGCAAAGAATTCACAGGAAGAAGGTTCGGACCTTACCAACTTCAAGAGAGGATTTTGATCGGTGAAAAATGAAGTCCTTTATACCTGAAGTGCTCAAGCACCAATGTATTGCTGATCAGAAGAAGAAAGAAGGAGAAAATTTAAAGAGAATATGGAGAAATATAAGAAAGAAAGTAGAGAGAAGGAGGAGAAAAGAAGAGACTTGAGTTTTTAGAGAGATATAGATTTATGAGAAAATGAGATGAGATGTGGCTTGTGAAATTCTATAAAATGCACTCTCTTGTTTTTGAGACATATGTCCCTTTCTTCCGAGTGTTATTTTCAGAGTTGATAACATATCTCTTTGTAAAAATTACTAAAATAAATTTGATTTCTCATAAACCAAAATTTAATGTCTTACAAAATTGTGATTAATTACGATATATCGTAAATTAAAAAAAAAAATTGTTATACGAAAAAAATGGCTATTTGAGTTTTATCTCTCCTATCTATCGGTCTTTTGGACTTTTGGTGAAATTTAGTTTGTGAGCATTTACGTGTGTATATTATATATATATATAT